AAAGTGCTGAACGGAACAGGGCAGAACCTTCAGCGTATCGTCTGCTATAGGCCTTACATCAACTTTTATCCCGTGTACCAGAATGCAGCGGAATTCTTCGAAGAGCTGGTCGAATGCTACCGCTTACTGGCTTCGTGTTGTGGGAAAATCGTTTTTAAAGATGTAACATTAGAGGAGGAATATTTACAATTTATACATTGGCTGTGATTTTATGCTCAGTAACAATTCCTACGAAATACGGCATTAAAAACTGAAAGTACTTTTCAGGCGATGACATTGATGAAGGCCCCGTGTGACGGTTTTCTAGAAACATAGACACCGTTCTTCCGATAGCCGAACGTGTTGCAACGGCCTAGTGAAGCCATTTCCAGGTCCGAAATATGCCGCTTAACGGAAATTATTAAGTGAATGTCACCACAGTGGCTTCGGCACATCGGTGTAAAACCGATGGAGCGGAACAGCGGCGGAGGAAAGACTAAGTGAAACTAGCCACTCGAATGGTCCTAAAACTCTTTGTACGGCACTGCGGCTGTACAGACCGTTGGCGTACAATCCACAGGTATCAACCGGATATTGCTGCAGCAGGTCGCGCTCCACAAAAGATACGTGCGTGCGTATCTCATCCATAGCTAATTCCATTTCCGCCAGACTCTGGCTAGCGCTTACATCCCGGTCAAAGTACCTAACAAGCAATCAGTCAAAGGTAAACATTTTTGGAATAAAAAAGGAAAGCGATCTTCCAAGCTCGGGAAAATTTACTTTTGCCTCACAGCTGTACAGGTATTTTTGAAGGGTATTCCTTGCGAGGCGGAACCAAAAGGAGTATTCAGAGACAGCGGTAAGTGCCCGGACGGATTGACATTGGTGCCAGTGCGAGATGGAAAGCAGCTTGTATGGGACGCAACCTTTGCGGACACGTTAGCACAGTCGTACGTTAAACGGTCAGCAAGGGCAGCGGGCGCAGCGGCACACCAAGCAGAAAACCGGAAACGATACAACTATCGGCAGCCGGGGAACAGTACTGGTTTTATCCTTTTGTCCTGGAAACCCTGGGAGTGCTTGGCGAAGGAGCTAGAGTAATGGTCGGTTTTTTAGGACGAAAAATCAAGGAGGCAGCCGGAGAAGGTCGACCCACGGCTTTTTTAAAGCAGCGTATTAGCCTCGCAGTTATCTGTATTAAAGGAAACGCGGCGGCTGTTTTAGGAACCTTACCGGGCAAGAATAAACTGGTTGATAATACTGACTTTGGTTGTTTTTTTAATTCTTAATCGAGCAGTGATGGCCGTAGTTAATGGATTTACGACAGTAATGTCGCGATTTGAAAATCAATAAATGCATTCATTTTTCTGAATGTGTTCTTGTCATTATGGGCGCTATCACTAACTTCGTTCAATCAGGTGTTCGCCGGAAGAACTATCGGTGCTATTACTTTTGGTGGCGAAAACAAAATGTAGTTTTCATTGATTTTAAACAGAGTTTATTAATTGAAGAAACGGTAAAAATTCACCCAGGGGACCGAAAAGGCTATCGAAAGTACTTTATACAAGATTCAGACGGAGTGATGGAAGCACACTTGCCAGCAACGGCAAAACTAAAATTTAAGTTCATAGAGAGAACTAAAAAGGCTGAAAGATTTGGGTCTAAGGCTAACTCAACCGAACTGATTTGGTTGGTATCTACCACATGTGGTAGATACCAACCAAATCGGTTTCATTATTTCTTAGGATTACATAACTGCGGCTTGTATGTTGAGCTCAAAAAATAGCGCGTGACTGTAATCCTAAGAAATAATGGAAGATTTCTTCGTTTCTACTTCTACGTTGACTTTTCCGCTGGTGGTTGTTTTCGTTACGTTCCCGTTTGTGCATTTAAAACCGGACAAATACAGTACATCCAAGTACCTTATCCAATAACCGAGCCATTCCCCGCCGAACCATTCCATTGGGACTGCCGACTGCAGTATCCACACACCATTCCTCGTATGCACTCACTGTGCAGACAGGAAGGTCGGGATAAAGCTAGAAAATCGCCCATAGTAACTACGATTTGGGAGAATGTCGGCATCGGTGACAGTTCTTGTCTACATAAGTGCGGAGAACAAACGGTTTCGGACGGGGCCGAGGTGATCCCCCGCCCGTTGGCTCGAAATGCCAGTTAATTTGGATACTGTCGTAATGCACCATGGGAAAACTATCACGGATGCCATCCCATCGATTTATGTAGAGCTTTAAATTCTGCAGCGTCAACGAGATCAGGGTATGGCCAATGCTGTACTGAATGTTGTGTAAAATCTTTAAGATGTCGTTAATGCTGGTCGAATTATTATCCAAACTCCTGTATGTTGAAATGAGTATGTTCTACGGAACTTTTCTTCAAAACATGCATATTTACATGCCTTTCTTCAAAACATGCATGCGTATTTACAAAATAAACGGCAGTAAATAAAGAGGGTATCTGTTTTGTGAATACCATTTGAAACAGTCTTCGATACAGGGAGCTATGAAAGAAACTGTCGAGAAATTTTCAGCAAGTATGAGGAGAAAAGTAGAAGTTCTTCCGGCAGACATCATGGTCATCCGGACGTTTTGGTCGGTTACACATGATACATAGGTACTAGTACACTGGTGTATGCGATCAACTTCCCTAGCGCCTCGAATAAGCAGCTACGACTACAGAGCACATACTAATTACGAGTGTGACCGTTGAAGAAAAACGATGCTAACAGAAATCCGGAAGCTCGCTGGACCATTTCCTTAAGTTTTCAAACATAAGGAATCACCGCTTCTGAATAAGTATGCTGCAAATACTTAATTGCAGTGCCTTCTTACGATTAATTCCTTGTATGGATTTCAAGTAGAAAACTGGTATCGGCTTGGCCGAGAATACTACGACACACCTATTTTTCGCCAATGGAAATTAGGCACTGGACATTTATTTCGGTAGCAGGTATTTCGCCGCGAATCATCTCGTTGCGGGATATTTCGTCGCTGGGCATCCAGTCAACGGGATATGATGCAGCAAAATGTTTCGTTATAATATGTCTGTTTTGACGAAATTTAACGTCCATATCTACAAGTTGTCCTTTCAAGCTGGTTTACGATAAAACGCTAAGAAATGGAGTTTGTAAGACGCACAAAATAAACGACGTATTTCTACACTCCCAATTTCTGGATTAAGTTTTGAAAAAATAGAAAAAGTTCTTGAAAAACAGTTTTGATAAAATTTTTAAGTTTAATATAGTAAAATCGAAAAACTTTCCGGAAACGTCAATAATAAAGCTATTTTGATGTTTTTGTAGCTCTTAAATTTTTTGTGGTTTTTGAATTTTAGAACTCTTCGATTTATTTCCAAAGCTGGTTCCGCGCAGCGGGCCATTTCCTTTTTTTTTAAATTCTACGTTTCCTAAAATTTAGAAACATTTCAATACATGAAAAACTATATAATTTACCATTTCCACGTTTTCTGAATTTCTGCATAATAAAATCATAAAATAGCCAGCATAGTTCCAGATTCCTAATTTTTAAATCTAATTTCCATACCTAAAACTCGCGCGACCAACACTTGTATGATAAAACGCTAAGATATGGAGTTTGTAAGACGCCCCGAGATTTCGAGAAGTGTGAAATAAAAACACTATAGCTGTAGTATTCGGTAAACGTTCGAAGTTTGTTCCGAGTGTTGAGCGCAAAAAGATGCCGGCTTTTACACGTTCAAGGTAATGTCGCTCAGCAAATGGTGTACGCCAGGGATTAGATCATTAGTCCAATAGCGCGCATCTTAGCACGGAAACTAAAACACGAAGCAATCAAAATAAAAGATGATCACCAGCAATAAATGTGGACAAAAAAAACAGGCAACCGTATTCGCTCAACACAGAAAGTTACAACGCTTAGAGTATTGCGAACGGAAGTTAACGAACGAATTTTGAAGTGGTGTTGTGTGTTCTTCAGAATTTTATCCCACCTTCAACAGCTGTAACTTCTATACGGGGTTCGGGCCTTTGGCTGCTGCCTGAAATGAAATGGAGGGAGTACGTACTGTCCTGGGGCACGACAAATATTTCTTGCTAGTTTCCATTCCTTTGTTCTTTCGGTTTCCAGTTTCTTTCGGAACTCGGAACTCTTGAAGTTCTCCGTCCCTGCACCCATTTCCTTGTGTACTGCAGCTTACGTGATGCGGTTCAGGCTGCTCACATCACACATGCAAGCGCTTCGCATTGGCCATTGTCCATGGCCAGTCTCGAAAGCGTGACTTTGAGCGTGGATCTGAGTTTAGGTACGCTTGCAGAATCTATCAAAGACCAAAGAGTGCGTTCAATAAATACTGCCGCGGAAAGGGGAACTGTCATATTTCAGCCACATTACTGTACCGAGGAACTATTTCTACTCATGCGACAAACGCTGATCGCCATCCGCTTTCCACCTTACAACGCCTGCCACTTCCACCGGATCACACAAATGTCCCTCGAAAACATCCCAGAGTTGTGAAGGGCTTTTAAAAGCAGCTCGGCATGCTGAGCAACGGACACGCAACGGACAGAATCGGTTTCCAGTGTCACATCTATGAAGATGATGTCGCAACACGGTGCCAGTGCGCAAAGCCATTTCGCTAAACATTCAAAGCGCTCCGGAAGACGCTGATGCTTGTTGCGCATGTCGATGAGGCGACGGCAGAAAACCAACCGGTTAATGCGCTAAGCGGAGATGGAGTGGATGTATTCCAAACTCCAAAGCTGGAGTGGATGTAGAGCTAGCTGGAATAGGAGTTCCCAACTTCCCGTAGAAATAGTCGAATTGTATCGCATGGTAGGTCGTTACCATTTGGAACTACTTGTTGGGCCCATCGGTTAAAATCGCATCCCAAATTAGGCTATTTTTTAATAAAGTGTTTTGAAATTTGAACATGAATTAGCGCCTGGCTGTGTAAATTTGGCCTTTCGATAGTGAACTAGGTTTGTTTGGTTAACGGATAAGATGGTATTTCCGATTACTGACTGTGTATGGCGTGTGTCTGGCGACTAGGTAGACCATGTACTGCGTCAAATATACGCCCCACACCACTGCCATCATAGAAACCGTAGTTATACTGAATTTATTCTTCAGTTACTCAAGTATAGGTAACCGTTCAGGTCACGCAGTAATTCCGCTGCCGTTCTGCGACTGTCCATATTAAACTGTAAACATAATTTAACGAAATCCTTCAGCAGTGGATCCATATTCGAGGACACCAGGGGCCGCGCTTGCTGAAACATCAGCTGAAACATTATCGCTTCTGGTTCGGTGTAGCAGATCTTTCTATACGATCCGTCCCAGTCATCCGCCATAGATTCGGGTGATTTTTCCCACTGTTGAATAACGGGGGAATAACCAGTGTACATTTGCAGAGCAACACACCCGACACTCCAAATATCGCTCTTATGGGAAATCTTGGCTGGATGTTCCAAACCCACAGCAAGTTCGGCGCAGCGTAGACTCACTTCCGGTGCCGCGTACAGAGCAGTAAAATCGACATTCTCCAATCTATCCTGTGATTCTTCCTGGAATATTGCTCCTTCGAAATCAACGATGACGAGTCGCTGATAGCCGGTGTGCCTCAGTACAAGATTTTGCGGTTTAATGTCGCAATGAATTATGTCGAAATTCGAGTGGATGCAATCTAAACCTGTCAGGAGATCCCGAAGAAACTGTCGAATCGTGGCGTGCGGCAAGCATTGCTTAATAAGCGGTCTTGCTTTTGCCGCTTGTTGTACCCATTGCTTTAAATTGCCACCTGCAATTAATCCATTTATTAAATTAAACTGGCATATTAATTTGTAGGCTACAACAAGGGACAAATAATAATTAATTTGTTAATATTAATAATAATTTGTGCTACAATCTATTAAGATTGATAATAATTAATATTAATAATAATTATTAATATTTTTTGTTCATAATAATAATAATTTGTGCTACAATCTATTTGTGCTGGATTATTAATTTGTGCTACAATCTAATGGACTGGGAATGAGTACAAATACGCTTGACCAGAAAAACGTGAAATGCGTTGGAGTTAATTCAGCTGAGTTTTGAAGTTTGTATGTATCAGTAAGCAGATTACATAAGCATAGATAACGGCTGGTCTGCTTGTTAACTAGAGTCGATAAGGCAAACATCGGATATTCATCCTGCATAACTGCACTTGCCGGAGACTCCAGCAAACCGAGTGGTTACACAGTGCAGGTGACAACGCAGGTAAGTAATACATTTTATTCAACTACAGAGTACTAAAATGACTCCAGTTTTCTGATAGTTGGGTTTCATTGCACAACTGCCTGGTTGGCCCGAAAACGGATAAACACACCAGCCACTGGAACTGATAAGCACTGCTAGAGTATGCTATTACTATCGGCACCACGTCAGTCAGTTTCATTTACCAGGCGCCATACATGCTTTACTTTCCAAACAAATTTCTCTCCGGCATGTTAGCTCCGGGCACCCATTTTTCAAAATTAAATTACTTCTCCCGAAGGTGGCGTTGCCTAAAAACAGGCTTTCTGAAACGATGGCGCTAATTCGCGACTGTTGACACTATGAAAAATTTATCTCTTATAGGATTTTATTTTGTTGCGCATTATCCTGTATTTTTTAAGGCTGGTCGTTATACAAAACACCTATTAGCAGAAACACTTTTTTCTCAAGCAAATATTATAGCGTTCATAATAATATTTCATGTATATTACGGATTCTCGTCGGAAGCTCAAATTTTTCACAAACAGCGCTTTGAAAGCATTACCTGAATAGTAGCGGGAGGATATGCGATAGTTTATCCAATTCCTATTTCCTTCCTGCTGCCGTATAACCAAGCCAAAGTATTTGGTGGTGTTCTCGTGATCGAGGGCTCTGAGTTTGTCAACCTTCATAACGACTGTCGCATCAAATTTGTCTTTGTCATCATTGAAAGGAATCTCTTTTACCAAGTACTCGTGCCCTTCGATACAGACAGAATACAAAACAGGTCCGTTTGCCAACCTGGTTAAGTCGGGCCGTATTTCCAGGGTACCAGCAAAAGTGCCGTGAGGATAGATGGGATTCCATATTGGAGCATCCATAGTGCAAACAGCAAAACAAAGGACCGTTCTCGATCAGAGCAGCCGCTATGAGGTCTTTGTGGAAGTAGTCTCTCACTTCTACTGCTATGTGATAGCACCAACGGTACCATGTGTGGTCTCTTTCTGATCTAGCGGTAGTAAGCTGCACTTCGGACGATAACGTCCGCATGCAGAAGCACAGTAAAGTCAGTATCTGTGCATACATTCCCGCGATGTATTTAAACAGTGCGCGATAAACGCAAAGTTAATACTGGTTAGTACTAATTCCATTAAAGCACGCCGGTCCATATAAGTTGCCCGTCACATTAGCAGCAGCAGTCACAAGCCCGCTTCTAGCGGTTTTCACTGCCTTAAATTCTATGGAAGTGCTCGATCATGCCAGTCGCCAGATTATTCCAGAATTTTTAAATTGCTCCTTTTAAAGAATCCAGCAAACATACATTTTTATCATATTACATTTAAAGGCATTCCATGGCTGACTCGACAGTTTTCAGTCCGTATCCAACCAGACGGCAACGTTCACATTCTTGTAACTATGGACAAAATATTATCGGGTGCCCAAGTAAGAACATAGTTACAGTGGAACAACTAGTTCAATGCCCTGCTATCATGGCTAACATCGTTGACACTGTCCCCCACGAAAGCGCCGCGAGAATCCTCTCGACAATGCAGAAATTGTGGATTGCAGATACTGTGCTGGAGCAGCTTACGAAGCTACATTGTAATGACATCTGCGGAATGGATTTTCTGCCAAATCACGTGTTGATCAGCCGACACGGAGCATTGCTGCAGAAACGAGGCCGAGTCCCATCTCATGACGGAAATGTCGGCAAGCACCATGATAAAGCAGTGCGAGTTTTGCTCTACTCGGCACCGGAAGACATTCGCCATGATAACAAAGACGGACGTTCGTCAGACGTTTGGAGTTTTGCGTGTTTGTGTCTATATGTTTTCAGTGGAAAAGACCCTGAGTTCTATCATCAACTAGCCAACGGCCAAAAACGCTTTTTAAATCAGGTCAAGGGTGCATTTGCCGCAATAACAATGATGGTTGGAAAGGGAGATTGTATTCCAGAATATGCGATGTGCTACCAAAACAGTCCCGCAATGCAAGCGCTTTTTTGTCAATGTTTCCAGTTTATTGCTCTACAGAGACCTGGAGCATTCCAGCTAAGACAGGACATGGTTCTAGCCCAAAAAGAGGCATTGCTGCAGTGCGGAATGACAAAAAGCGGGTGTGTATGTTGCTGTACAATTTTATTATGACTTTTCAACAAGCTTTTCTTACGAAATCGCCAGATATGAGTAATCTGACTTCAAAAGTTTGGAAGGTTTTGATTTTCTAACTAGAGCACTGTAGTTTCAAGCCCAGCAACCAGGTTTGGGCTTGAAACGATAACCAGCTTTTTGAGAGAATGTCCAAGTTGGGACATTAGTGGTTCACTGGTTCTGAACCAATGGAACCACACTTGAACCAAGTACGTTCTCACTTACCGACACGCTGACACACTACCGCTGTACCCCGTGAACTAACGGAACCAATAGAACCACATGGAACCGCAATGGAACCACAAGCGAACCAAGAGCACTCTCACTTGCATGCACGCATTCCCACTACCGCTGTACCCCGTGAATCAATGGAACCAATGGAACCACATGGAACCACAATGGAACCACAAGCGAACCAAGAGCACTCTCACTTGGATGCACGCTGTCACACTACCGCTGTACCCCTGAACCAATGGAGTCACATGGAACCACAATGGAACCACAAGGAACCATTGTCACATGGAACCACAATGGAACCATTGTCAAGATAACAAGCGTGTAACCGTTCACAAGCTGCGGTTGTCTCGGGCATCCGGCGGAGTTTCCCGCGCTTCAATCGTCAAAACCGCATTCGAATGCGAAATTATTAATCAGGAATGGCTTTTCCGTTAGAAAATGAAGAAAAGTAACTTATATAAACTAGTAACCTGCACTCGCTTTTTTAAGTTACGCATGACCGAAGCGTAGAAATTTTAAAAAGAAAGAGAGGGATTAGCACCCTTTGTATATGCCGTTTTGCTGCAGACTACGCTCCGCTTATTCAATGCTCGCCTTTGCGTTGGTTGAATTTTTGCGCCAAGTTCCAGGCGCTAGCCAAAACCGAGTTCAGCGTTCCTGTATGCGGTATACGTCGGATATCCGTCGTAGCGTAGAGGAAGCTAAGCTTTTGCTTTGGGGTCTGAACGCTTTTGTGTAAAAAGAAGAATACTGTAGCAAAGAAAAGAAAAATATTTGTCTACGCTATTTGTCTGACGCCAGAAGAGTGCAGCGTAAAACTTTTCCATTTCCACTAACCGAGAAACATTACCCCGCGGTGTTGGCGCTCGCGCTCGCGCGGTAATGTGGTTAACAATTACCGCTAGTCAGAGGAAACAGGTGGCCTTTTTAAAACTGCCACAGCGTTATTATCTCCCAAAACTGACACTACATTCTGTAAACAAAATAGACATTGCCGCAAATATGCACATGTGTTGGCGATTGCCTCCGTACTGATACCACGACGCGTGAGTTCATATAGTCACCATGTGTGTCACCGGTAACGATGCCACTTCGTTGTTGCGCGTGCGTCTGGTCACTGGTGACAAGCAGGTTGATGGATACATGCAGTTAGTTTCGTATAAATAGGGTCGCTCTGCTAGGGTCGAAAATTTTTGACGGAAGGTATGGGCGTTCACAGACGGTTTAAATAATTAAAGCTCCACAACGACTGCCGGATGTATTGGACTTTTTCTATCGTGTATAGATTTCGTTATCTAATATCTCTTTGCACCACCTGCCATCATGACAATGAAAAATGCTGTTGTGGTACAGGATGAAGACGGCCTCCCGTGGATTATATCTGCCGTTGGATGATGAATTTCCGCACTTAGCCTTGGATGTGGTGAAAAAGACTGTCAAATACAAGAGATACAGCAGTCACATCGGGAAAGATTGCAGTAAAATTCGAAAAAACGAGAAATAATTTCGAGAAACACAGCGCAGTACTTTTGGGAAACACTCTTAAAAAATAGGAAAAATATAGTCAAATCGGGAAAAATTGCTGCAAAATTGCAAAAATACGAGAAATAATTTTGAGCAACCTATCGCAGCACTTTTGCGAAACACTCTTAAAAAATGGGAAAAATATAGTCAAATCGAGAAAGATTGCTGTAAAATTGCGAAAAAACGAGAAATACTTTCGAGCAACCTATCGCAGCGCTTTTGGGAGACACCCTTAAAAAATGGGGAAAATATAGTCAAATCGAGAAAGATGGCTGTAAAATTGCGAAAAATACGAGAAATAATTTTTAGCAACCTATCGCAGCACTTTTGGGAAACACTCTTAAAAAATGGGAAAAATATAGTCAAATCGAGAAAGATTGCTGTAAAATTGCGAAAAAACGAGAAATAATTTTGAGCAACCTATCGCAGCACTTTTGGGAAACACTCTTAAAAAATGGGAAAAATATAGTCAAATCGAGAAAGATTGCTGTAAAATTGCGAAAAAACGAGAAATATGTTCGAGCAACCCAGCGCAGCACTTTTGGGAAACACTCTAAAAAAATGGGAAAAATACAGTCAAATCGAGAAAGATTGCTGTAAAATTGCGAAAAAACGAGAAATATGTTCGAGCAACCCAGCGCAGCACTTTTGGGAAACACTCTTAAAAAATGGGAAAAATATAGTCAAATCGAGAAAGATTGCTGTAAAATTGCGAAAAAACGAGAAATACTTTCGAGCAACCTATCGCAGCACTTTTGGGAAACACCCTTAAAAAATGGAAAAAATATAGTCAAATCGAGAAAGATTGCTGTAAAATTGCGAAAAATACGAGAAATAATTTTTAGCAACCTATCGCAGCACTTTTGGGAAACACTCTTAAAAAATGGGAAAAATATAGTCAAATCGAGAAAGATTGCTGTAAAATTGCGAAAAAACGAGAAATATGTTCGAGAAACCCAGCGCAGCACTTTTGGGAAACACTCTTAAAAAATGGGAAAAATATAGTCAAATCGAGAAAGATTGCTGTAAAATTGCGAAAAAACGAGAAATAATTTTGAGCAACCCAGCGCAGCACTTTTGGGAAACACTCTTAAAAAATGGGAAAAATATAGTCAAATCGAGAAGGATTGCAGTAAAATGCGAAAAAACGAGAAATAATTTTGAGCTACCCATCGCAGCACTTTTGGGAAACACTCTTAAAAAATGGGAAAAACAAAGTCAAATCAGGAAAGATTGCAGTAAAATGCGAAAAAACGAGAAATATGTTTGAGCAACCCAGCGCAGCACTTTTGGGAAACACTCTTAAAAAATGGGAAAAACAAAGTCAAATCAGGAAAGATTGCAGTAAAATGCGAAAAAACGAGAAATATGTTTGAGCAACCCAGCGCAGCACTTTTGGGAAACACTATTAAAAAATGGGAAAAATATAGTCAAATCGAGAAAGATTGCTGCAAAATGCAAAAATACGAGAAATAATTTTGAGCAACCCATCGCAGCACTGTTGGGAAAAACTCTTAAAAAATGGGAAAAATATAGTCAAATCGGGAAAGATTGCATTAAAATGCGAAAAAGCGAGAAATATGTTCGAGCAAAACAGCGCAGCACTTTTGGGAAAAACTTTCAAAAAACGGGAAAAATATAGTCAAATCGGGAAAGATTGCAGAAAAATGCGAAAAAACGAGAAATATGTTTGAGCAGCCCAGCGCTGCAATTTTGGGAAACACTCTTAAAAAATGGGAAAAATTTAGTCAAATGGGAAAGATTGCAGTAAAATGCGAAAAACGAGAAATATGTTCGATAACCCAGCGCAGCACTTTTGAAACACTCTTAAAAAATGGGAAAAATATAGTCAAATCGAGAAAGATTGCTGTAAAATTGCGAAAAAACGAGAAATAATTTTTAGCAACCTATCGCAGCACTTTTGGGAAACACTCTTAAAAAATGGGAAAAATATAGTCAAATCGGGAAAGATTGCATTAAAATGCGAAAAAACGAGAAAGATGTTCGAGCAAAACAGCGCAGCACTTTTGGGAAACACTCTTAAAAAATGGGGAAAATATAGTCAAATCGGGAAAGATTGCAGTAAAATGCGAAAAAACGAGAAATATGTTTGAGCAACCCGGCGCAGCTCTTTTGGGAAATACTTTAAAAAAATGGAAAAAAAACAGTCAAATCGGGAAAGATTGCAGTAAAATGCGCAAAAACGAGAAATATGTTCGAGCAACCCAGCGCAGCACTTTGGGAAACACTCTAAAAATGGGAAAATATAGTCAA